CTCCCTGCACAGGGGACTGTAACAATTCAGATTTGTGGGAATCCTGCCTGACACAGACCCTGGGGTGACTGTTCTGCCTCTGCTTGTGCTTGCAGGGGGATTTTGGGACTCAGAAAGAAGCTGCTTGGGCAATAAGCAACTTAACAATCAGTGGGAGAAAAGACCAGGTGAGTGCAGCTCTGGGGCAGCATTTCCTGCCCTGGGAGGTGCTGGGGTTGTGGGTGTCTCTGCTCCTTCTCTGTTCAGGACTTTCCCTTCTCCCCATGGGATTTAGGGGTGGCCTGTCCTTGTTTGGGCTGAGCTGAGGGCAGGAGCATCCCTGGGCTTTGTTGGAAGCTCTTTTGGGATGGGTGATTTCAGCCAGGCTCTGATGGGATTCTCGAGCATTCCACATTTCTTTTTACCTTTTTTCCTGCACCACAAGGATGTGCTCATTAAAAGGACAGTAACCCCTGAGTAGGGGACACACAAGTCCCTTGTAAGCCCAGAGTAAGAGATTTGTAGCATGGCTGGGCTGGTGCTGTCACTCTGTAGAGGTGAGGTTGAAACTCCTTATCTGACACTTAAAAATGCACAGTATTTGCTCCTGGGGTGCTGTAAATCTCCAATCTCTGTAATTTAATACCCAAAGTTCCCAGAGGGGGTTCCTGGGCTGGGTGGGTGGCTCTGACAATCTGGGTTTGCTGTGCTGCTGCCACCTTCCTGCTCTAACTCTTGGCTTTTCCCCCCTCAGGTGGCTTACTTGATTCAACAAAATGTAATCCCTCCCTTTTGCAATTTGCTGACAGTAAAAGATGCACAAGTTGTGCAGGTGGTTCTGGATGGACTAAGTAATATATTAAAAATGGCTGAAGAGGAAGCAGAAACCATAGCCAACCTTATAGAAGAGTGTGGAGGTAGGAGGGGCAGGGATTTCATAAGGGATTGCTGCTCTGGCATCCTGCTTGTGCTGGCTGTAGTGTTGGCACAGATATTTTAAGCAAACCTGTTTTAAAGCACCCTTTTCATGCCTACCAGGTGAATATCCACAGCTTTTCCCAAGTGCATGATCAAATAAAATGTGGAGAGCAGTAAAGTTCATGAGGTGCTAATTTTGTAACAGTCTTTATATCACACTAATTAACAGAAACTAAATTAGTCAGTGTGGGGGTGATGTGCTTACCTTAATCATGCACAAGTCATGTCCAGGTGAACTTAGAACAAATAATTCTACATACACTGGTTGTGAAAATGCAATAACTTTAATTTCCTCATGGGTTTGAGACTTTCTCCATATTCTGTGTGGTTTAAGTTAAATGAAACTTTTCAGGGATGAAAGAATAGTGATAGTAAATTTGGACACAGGTGAAAACCTGTGGGATTTGTTAACATGGAGTAGAATAGTCCTTAAAATACCAAATCTGTGTACTGAACTAATGAGTTCATATGTATAAACACATGTAAACATATTAGTATATATAAAATATATATAAATATGCCAGGTGGGTTCAACAGCATTTTATTCATAACCAGATCATTCATAACTCTATTCCCAATGTATTTTTTAATTTCTTTGTTGGAAGTTGTCTGGCCTGAACTTGCTGTTCTGAGATCTCTTATGTGTTGGTTGCAGGCCTGGAGAAAATTGAACAGCTACAAAACCATGAAAATGAAGACATCTACAAACTGGCTTATGAGATCATTGACCAGTTCTTCTCCTCAGATGATGTGAGTGTGCAGCCCCTGCAGTGTGCTCGTGGGTTGCAGTTGCAGTTGTGCTGCAGGGAAGGGCAGCAGCCCCAGGGGGATCTGAGCCCTGGTGTGACCCTGCTGCCATCACTGCTGAGGCAGCTCAAGCAGATCTGGAGCCTCATTTAGGGCTCATCTGCAGGGATTAAATGCCAGGCTGGGAATAGTTCCTGAGCTCCCAGCCTGACCCTGCCCTGTGGATAAACTCCCAGAAACAGAGTTGGGATGTTTGGGCAATGCCAGGGGTGGATGTGCTGCTCAGGAGCGTTGTTGTGTGTCAGACATGAACACAAATCAAGGCAGGGCTGGTTCTGTGCACTCATCAGGAAGCTGATTGCAGAGGGCAGGGCAGCCCTGCAGTCTGGGCCATGCAGGGAGGGTTTGGTCACTGCAGGCATGGTGGGGTTCAGCTGCATTCATGGCTGTTTGCACTTGGGAGGGTTTTTGTGCTGCATTTCACCTTGATGTGAGCAGTGACACCCAAGCCTTGCTCAGCAGCTCAACTGTGGCATTTACAGCTGGACTTGGAACTTAATCCAGTGTCAGTTTGGGCTTAGTCCTGCCTTGGTTAGAGGCCTTCTCCTAAGGATTGAGATTGTTTCTGATACTCCCAGAAGGTTTTCCAGGAGAGAAAATTGTGGGTTAGGGGTGCCATGTAGCCCTCCCTGACAAATACAAACCAAACATTTGGGTTTAAATCACTTCATTTTGGTGCTGTCACTAAACCAGGGGAGGGCTGGGTGCAGGGAGGTGAGGAGAGAGCTCCTTTGTGGTGTCCCTGCTCACAATGTCCCCCTTGCATTGCAGATTGATGAAGATCCAAGCCTTGTTCCAGAAGCGATCCAAGGCGGAACATTTGGTTTCAATTCATCTGCCAATGTACCAGCAGAAGGGTTCCAGTTTTAGAGTGGTATTTTGGAAGTTTAGGTACAATGCAGCACTGAATAAAAAAAAAAAAAAGGTTTGATCCATCAATCTTGGCTCATGGGATCCGCTGCTGCATTAAATCGGGAAAGTAAACGTGAAGATTTCATTTGGAATCACAGAAAAGCCCAAATGAAGTCAAGATGGCGAGTGGGTGCGAGTGAGAATGAGTGGCAAAATGTAATGACAAACTTCACACTGAATGCTTCTTTAGATTGTTCAAAGAAAAAGGGCTCCAGGTCCCAGCTCTGCAGTGCCTGAGGAGGAGCACGGCCCTGCCGAGGACTCTCATCATCAGCCTCGTCAGCAGCAGCGCCCAGGGCAGGGCAGGGAGAGCGCAGGCCTTGCTCTGCAGCCCCGTGTGAGTGATGGCAGCGTGCATGCAGTGCCTGCAGGGGTGCCTGCAGCTCTGGTGCGGTGCAGTGAGTG